AAATAAATCTCAATTGACAACTGATGTGATCCCAGCCTATCATCTCTCACTCCATATGATGTAAACCGAGTCTACCATCACATCCCTGTGTCAGCCTATATGTCAACCATTAGTTAATTAATATATTCACTATTGAAAACAATAAATTTATTTATTAACGCACTCTTTATATGCCGTTTGTATTGAAACCCAAAATATATTTGCATTTAATTATTATGATTCATAAATATAAATCAATTTTTAATTCAAATTAATCTTACCGTTGAGTTAATGCGAGTTGTGGTCAACAAAATAACAGTTATTTGGTGTCAAACTTAAAAATGTCCTGTATGTCACACCACCATGAAGTTTCAAATTATGCTACTCATTAAATTTATTTAAATAGTTTATAATTTTATGTCACAAATTAAAAAATTTACACACATTTAAAAAAATAAGTTTAATAATAATTTATAAATTAATAAAAATAATGAACATGATCAAACAATCACTGTAATGTCAATAACTGTTGTATAATAAACTAAATGGGAATAAACAATTTGTTTTTGACATTTGGAGTAGTCTAACCAACTGTCAACTTACTATTAAATTTACATTTTAAAATTACAATTAAGATTCAGATGGATCACAAACGACCAAACATATGGTGTGATTCTCGGTTAATACCGATGTACTGTACAATATACCCAAAATGTATACAAAACTGTGAATGTAATGTATAGTTTAAAAACAGAGTAATATATTCATTGCTAAATAAGCAATAAGTAGTATTTCAAGTCGAGTTTCACAATTAATAGCCTCAAAACAATGTTTAAATAGTTGTTTTTGTCTTTATGTATAATTAATAACATATTATAATGTATATCAAGGTTTTCTTTGTACATGAAATTAATATTAAAACTTTTTATCAATTTATAACTGAATGAAAGCTAAGAAAACAGGTATTTATGAAGGAGTAAATGAGGGGATATTACAATCACAGCAATTGTTTGATTGGGAAATATTAATATTTAAATCAATACCCATTTGTTGCCTCAAATCAATACCCATTACTTATATATAAATACAAATGTTAAGCAAAAATGTCATTTTCCTAACCGTTTTTATCAATAACTCTGTGTTTTTGTTTCATATATTCGTTGAATAAATCAGAAAATAGTTTTGTTTTTTATATGAATTATTTATTTTTTAAAAGGAAATGATTGTTTTGGCATAAAATATATAAATATTTCTATCAAATCCATTAGTTTTTTGTAGATTTGTGTGGAGAGAGAGAGGATAGGCTGGGATCACATCAGTTGTCAATTGTATTGGATTGTTATTTTACTATTGTTAAGATATTATACTCTAAATATACTGTATATACTTTACAGAATATTCTGCTTGAATTTTCGTTTGTCTCTCACTCTGCTATTCATTGATATAATTTGTTTTAAGAATCTATTTGTTTATTCAATACAATCGACAATAGAAAGAGAGAGAGAGAGAGAGATTAAATGCATAAATCAATATTAACACGAATACTGTATAAAGTCGTCAATTTTATTTTATCTTTATCTTATAATAATTAAAAGTTTTAGTATAAAATATTTATATAAAATTTGTTGAATCCAATCAACGGACAAATGGTTTAACAGTTTTGATGTTTAATTCCGAAAGTTTTGGCCTAAAATAAAAGTAAAATCAAATTTAGTTTTATATATAACTCATTTACGACACTTTACTTATAAATAAAACCAAAAGTAAATCATTGATTCTTCAAACAAAACCATATTTTCTATTATTAATAATATATTTTTGTGATTTTTGTATAGTATCTCAAGAAATCCCCAAAAACTCAATTTAACACATTGTTTGCTGAGCGCTACTAACGAACCCTTTTAACCATTTATCAAATAGATTTATTGATTTTTTAAAATATATTCAATTTTAATCGTAATTTAACTTAAAATATGCATAAATTTACTGAATAATTCATAAAACATCAATAATTATAAATATTATTATAGCATCAACTTTAAAATCTAAATAAACTACCCAAATCTATAACTAAGATGATAAAACTACAATGATAAAACATTTAAATAACTAAATATACAATCATTTCATGAAAATTTTTTTTTTAAATGCATACAAACCTAACAATCTGTTTGCAAACATATTTATTATAGATAACAATCAACGCAAATAAAAGTGCCATCAGATTAACCACAATAATAATTGGCCGAAACAATGACATCCAGTCGGGCGCCCGGCTATCCATCACCGGCTCAGCCATACTGTCATCACTGGTCTGTCGAGGAATCACAACCAATACCAGTGTCAGCAAAGACATGAAGACCAACGATACAACACCACCAGTGCTATCATATAAAAACATAAATTAACTAGATTGTTTTGTACAACTTATCATGGGCATAGTTACTTGACTAGAGGCTTGGCTTTGCGGCTAATCATATAGAATAGCAGTGTTGTCGGCCATAGGATGCTCATGAGGAATAGCCCGATGCCTATACCAAACACCCGAACCATTGTTTGGTTAAATTACCTGATTGTTTATGTATTGGATTTTTATTGTTATATAAGGTTTGTTTTTATAAATCAACCTGGTTTCTATGGTAATGCAACGTGCTTTTTATTGCTATGGCCAAAATTCACTATCGCTCATAACATTTTTATTTTATGTAATTCACAATACGGTATAGACTACTGTATACAGTATAGTATAGTATTTGATTATAATTTGCATTATAAAAATGTTTTCATTTCTAAAAATTTAATATTTAGAGTCTAAATATATAATCAATCTAATTATGAGCTACATGTTTATTAATCAAACAATGTCATTTACAAAATAATACACAATATTATACAATAATTGTGAAGTATAGCTATTTATTTAGAGTGCATGAATTGAATTCATCATAAAATACTAAATTTGATTTTTATTTGATTTATAAAAGTTATGCATTTAATCCTTATTGAATGTTAACAAGACAATTCATTAATTAAAATACTGTATATATTATGTTACATAACTAATACAATCATTTATTAATAATATAGACACTTATAAGGAGGCGTTGAGAATCCCGCCGTCGGACACAAAGTTAATGCCCGTCACAAACGAGGCCTCGTCTGAGGCCTAGAAGAGTACAGCGTTCGCGACGTCTATGGGCTCACCGACCCGTCCGACCGGGTTTTTACCGCCTATTTCGCTATATCGGGCCACTGATTGCTCTTTCGTGAAGCCCAGGGTCTGAAGCATGTTTGTCCTGATTGTGCCCGGACTGCACATTACACACAATATATTATTACTATTGAATAAACAATATAACAAATAATTGCATACTTGATAGCATTAATGCGAATGCCTTTTGGGCCCAACTCTAGGGCCAGACATTTAGTGAACATATCGAGTGCACACTTTGACATACAGTAGAGAAACCCTCTGGACAACTGTTTTTGTACAAACATTTTGTACACATAATTAAATATTATTTATAATTAGTCTTAGGTATGACTTAATGCGATAAAAATTCAATTGCAGATCACTAACCGTTTTAAAGCTCGCAATACTCGACATATTAATGATATTGCCTTTAGTTTTCTCCAAGTGTTCGACCGATAGATGTGTTAAATAGACGACTGAACGCAGGTATAAAAATTCAATTGCAGATCACTAACCGTTTTAAAGCTCGCAATACTCGACATATTAATGATATTGCCTTTAGTTTTCTCCAAGTGTTCGACCGATAGATGTGTTAAATAGACGACTGAACGCAGGTTTGTGTCCATAATATCGTTGTATTTGTCGAGAATAGCCGTATCATTGATCGGACATCGAAGACATTTTCCGGCGTTATTCATCAAAATATCCAACCGATTGAATGCACTGATCGTACTGTCAATCAGTCGTTTACAGTCGACGTCTTTACTCACGTCTGCCAACACTTCCAGTGGTTTCAGACCTTTGGGCGAAACGGCCGCACATTGTTTGGCCACTTCTGACAAGTTGTCGG